TGACCTGAGATGACATGATGGGAATTGGAGCTATAGAAATAAACTGAATAGAACTGAATTGATAGTCACCCAGTCATCTGAAGCAGGCGTGTTGAGGCAAGGAACTCCCTAATGCATGGAGGAACTACCTGGAAACCCACTGCTTTAGAACTCTACGTTGATCTAAAAGATTTCGATTGGTTCACCGTGACAGTGACAGTCGGATCAGCTGAAGGCCAGAGAACCAGAAACTTCCTCTGAATATTCGCTCAGCCTCCGCTCCCCCCCGGGTGTTTCGCTGCTTCCTAACCCTTCAGAAGACCTCGCTCCCCATCATCCATGAACAGTGAGACGAGTGTTTGTGATGCACCTGGCAGCTCCACTCCTGGCATTGTTCAGGTGTAACTCCTGAACCCAAACAGCCTGGCAGCAGAGGGCCGTCCGCTGCTTTAATTTATTCACTGCTGAGTTTAGTGTGAAGGCGACAGGAACGATGAGGGAGCTGTGAACATACATCCTTAGTTTGATGGGATCCTGAAGCAGCAGATGTGAAACCGGAGCTTTGACTGCTTCTTTCTCTGCTTTCTTTAGGACCCGCCTCCACCTGCCCCCCCACTGTCTCTGCAGCTTAGACCTGACCCTTCCTCAGCTCTGGCCTCATGGATCTGGATCCTCCTGCAGGAATATTAAGCAGCATTCCTGGAACCTAATCTCCTCACAGCTGGAACCCCTCGCTCGCTTAGCTCCCGTTTGACCTCCAGCCAGACGACGTCGTCCATCATGGCGGAGGGGCTACTGCAGGTGGAGATCCCTGACTTTGGCAGCAGCGTGCTGGGCAGCCTGAATGAGCAGCGGCTGCTTGGCCATTACTGCGACGTCTCCATCCTGGTTCAGGGCCAGTCCTTCAAGGCGCACCGGGCCGTCCTGGCAGCCTCCTCGCTCTACTTCAGAGACCTGTTCAGCTCTGCGGCTGACCCCGCCTCCTGCTCCTCCTCGTCCTCCTCGTCCCGGGTGGTGTTTGAACTTCCTTCCTCTGTGACGCCGACATGTTTCCAGCAGATTCTGTCCTTCTGCTACACCGGACGCCTCAGCATGGCAGCCAGCGAGCAGCTGGTGCTCATGTACACCGCCGGCTACCTCCAGATCCAGAACATAGTGGAGCGAGGAATGGAGTTGATGATGATGAAGGCCTCCTCCTCTTCCTCTCCGCTGTGCTGTGACTCTCAGGTGAGGCAGAGCTTGTAGGTAGGAATCCCCCCTGTGTTCACCCCATGAGTCTTTGGAAAACTGCAATGTTTCCTGGTCCTGCAGAACCAGCCCACAGCATCACTCCTCCACCACCTGGCTGGACAGGCTGATCTGTTCAGTTTCCTCAAACATAGTTCTATCGTGGTCCAACATCTGTGCCGCGGTCTCCTCTGTCCAGGGGACTGTGTCTCAGAAGTCTGGTCCTTCATCCACGTGCTAAGTCCTGCCGCCATCTTGTTTCTAGAGGCTTCCATGCAGCCGGACTGCTTCAGGGTCCTGACCTTTGACCTGTAGAGTCTGAAGGCTGCTTTATACTCAGAAACCAGGTGGTCTGCGTGTGTCGCAGTGAACGCAGATATGCCCCGCCCCTTCCGCAGACACTCTGCTGCTCCTCTCAAAAAATGTAGAAGACCGCAGACAGGAGGCCTCTGATTGGTCAGTTCTCCATCCGCTCTACTCTATTTCCTGTTTGTTCCTTACTGGCTGGCTTTGCTTGTCTGGCCGCCATTGTGGAAAACGACTGAAGATGGAGCAGCTAGCAGAGCGAGGTGCGTGAGAACGCTGGATCCCCGCTCTTTTTGGCCCTCATGTCCCTCCGTTTAGGACAGACTTGCCCCCACTTCCCCCCCGCCCCTAACCCAAAGCTAGTTCC